CTCCAACACACACACACACACACACACACACACACACACACACACACTCACACACTCCATAAGAAGTCCCTGCTAACCAGGCCAGGACAGAAAATGTTGAATTTCATACCATGACACTAATTAGAGTGGGGAGAAAAACACACACAGCTTCTTTGCAGCTCAGATTACACACACCAGGGCGCACCAGCGCACATGAGTCCGTATTTCATGTGTTTGTGCTGCTGCTATATCAGTGGGTTGAGAGAATTGTAGATAATGAAATGTGTGCGTGTGCACCACGGTGAAGGGGGGCGCGGGAAAAACAGGAGGTGACGTTGTCCTACTCGGAGGTGAGTGGACGGACACCCGCCTCGTCCGGGGACATGTAATCTCATCAAGCAGACGCAGGGGTGGATGCGGGGAGATTTGGAAATCGATAGGCAAAAAAAATAAAAAAGGCTCCGGAGGGGCGCTGTGTCACTAAAATCAGTTTATATTTTCTTGTCGATAACTCATCAAGAATCTCATTTTCCTATGCCGCGGGAGAAAAACAACCGCAACAGACAATGGAGATATTTGAAAAAGGAGAAGTTGTTATTTACATTCAGTCCACCTCAGCTACTGCAGAATGCAAATCTCCCCTGATTTGTGTGAGAGTGACTTCAAGGGAAATGACAGCCAGCCTTGTCTTTCCTCTCAAACAGCACCCTTTAGAAATACTTATTTTCACATATCTCAGGAGTCTAGAAATGGCTTCAAAATAGGCAAACAAGCAGAGAGCGAGGCAGAGAAATGAGAAATGGGCTTTTCAGGTGTGATTAATTTGACACCTTTCGAGTATTAACCCCTAACTCCTACCTTTATCAGACTTTTCCTTCTCCTCTGACATCTCCCACTGCGTGTCTGTTGATGAGGGCTTGTGTTGACAGACGCCGCACCTGAAATATCAGCGTAACCGTGTTTTACATTCATCAACCCATCAGGGTTGCTGTGACATTCAAGGTGTTAACAAGCTTAGATCACTCATTAGGAGGGAATACATTCAGTCCACCTTAAAATAACTTGCATTGCGTTTCGCAATTTAAGGAGTCTGCAGCCAGAGAAGCTTTTCTGCTGCACAGTCATATCTCTTTTTATGGTAAAATAAGATGTCATGAAACACGGCATATTAACGCTTTTCAGCTCCTTTCGGTCCCCATAACAAACGCAAACAATGGCTGCACAAAGCATCTAAAAAAACAAACAAAGCACTTAGTGAAGAGCTTTTTGGAAAAGACTGAATAGGCTCTCCACAATAAATCAGATGCGCTTCCTGACAACGTAAACTATCCCATTTAAGCTCTGGCAGGTGCACTGCTGCCATTGAAGTGCATCAGATAAGTTAGCACATTGTAAAAAAAGCTGCAGAAATGGATATCTCTGATGCTTTATTTACCCGGATCGACACTGCAGCTTGTCCCTGGGGTCCCCCATGTTGTTCTCAGCAGGGAGGAAAGAGATCGTGCCTTCATAGTAGTTGTGACTCAGAAAGGTTTTTACGCCTGGAACACAAACACAGTGTGGGCCACAGAATGCATGTCAATATGTTTTATTTGATGTGTTTAATTTACCCTAATCACAGCTTAAGTTCTTTCAGCGACACATCTGCATAACTAATTGGACCACTATTCCTTATCTTTCTATTCTAATTCCTCTATTCTCTGGAGGGTGTTGTAGGTTTAACTGGGTTTAAGCAAGTTTAGTGATAATGCTATAGTAAAACTAACACACAATTGTATTTAAATGCCTTGTTGTGTTTGGTAGCCCTGGGGCCTGATTAATAATTTTTCTTTTTTTTAAAGCGTATTTAGTTCTGTGCTTGAGCCATGCTCATTTCTGCATATACAATTGAATCAAAGCTCGGTCAGGTCATGTATTATATTTGTAGAAATTCTATTTACCTCCTGACAGCACGTACTACTACTACTACTAATAATAATAATAAGCACGTCAATAATTTCATTCTGCCTGAATGATTGGGCAGGCTACCTGGTGCTAATGGTAGCCTACACTAATTAGACAAATGAGCTAATATTAGCATGCTAACATGCAACAACTAAGATGGTGTACATGGTAAAAATGAAAACTGCTTAGCATTAGGTTTTTAGCATGGTCATTGTGATGTGAGCATTCATTACAAAGCACCACTGTGCTTACATACAGCCTCACAGAGCTGCTAGCATTGCTGTTGATAATTGGTCTTGTCGATCTCTCTTGGTTGCTGCTTTTCATTAAGGACACTCAGACTTTACAATGGATATGTACTAAATATGGCATTCTGGGGACATTTTCCTTCATAAATGAGCCTGTACGTCCCAGGTTTTTGGTTAATAATTAATCTCACCATTGTAGTTGTTTGAAGCACCTTACAGTATGCATGCGTTTAGCCTCAGTGGGAAGAAAAATCTTGGTGAGCCTTTTGGTGTTGGTAAGTCCAACTACTGAGCTACACAATCTCTTGCACTGAAACCCACAAGCTTAAGGCTGCGTGTTAGATTCATATCTTAATCCTCCAAAGTCTTGACCCAGAGCTGGACCAGCAAGCTCAGGGATGAACTCAAGGTTAGCTCACATTAAAAAGAAGCCGGTGTGAGGTCAGTGCGCCACGGGGTTTTCAGAAAAAGGTGAAAGTGTGTGGGTAGGCTTAGCCTGAAGAGTCACTCAAGTTTAGAAAATGATGGCCCTCATACCTGACAGGTCATATCTAGCAGGACCCAGCCATCGCTTCCTCTCGCTGTCTGTTAGTACATCGCCATAGAAGCCGTAGCCAAGCAACGAGACGGAGTATCTGAGAAAGATGTCATCGTGGTGAACTGAACTAACGTCCATCGGCTGGGAATCCCCTGTTGAGACACACCCAGCAGAGTCATAGAAAAGCCCAAACATACACATGAACATGAAACTGAAAACCAGCTGGTGTAATAATCGCTCAAAAGGTTGTTTGTAGCTTCACACACAATACGGATAACAGAAAATTGAATCGGCATGCCACCCCGACACGTAGTGTGCTGTAAGTCTTCCATGAGTCTTTCAATTACTAACTCACCCACAATGATGTGTAAAGCAGAAGTAACTGGATCGTTGGTTCCCACTGTGGCAAAGCAGATACAATCAGTGGACCCTGTTGGATAAGAGACACACAGGTCGATGGTCAGCTATTACAGCCCCTGTACAGACAGGTTAAAGACACTGTGATGTGAGAGAAAAAAAAATACAAAGTCAAAATGTCATGAGTTTGGTGATAAACCAAAGCACTGGACAAATTAGATAGGTGGCCTGCAGATTATTTGGTCAATAGTTGTTAAGACATTTCACTACAAACCACAAGAGGGAAAGTTAGGGGCTGACCCAAGTCATCATGATACATTGTGGGGGAACCATGAATCTGTAATAAAAACAGATACAGTTATGTTGGGAGACTCTATCGGCAGGTAAAGCTGCAAAGCTGTATTTAACATGTGTACACCTCTTATTCATAGTTCAAATCTGAATATATATCGCCCTTTGGTGGAGTTACATGTCTTTCAAAGCTGCAACCTTGTACCAAGAATTCAGTGGGATGATTTTATTAAGCGGAAGTAAGAAGACGTCTCAGTTAAGTGAACTAATAGGATAGCTCCGGGCCCTGGGCTATCATCAACGCTCTTCAGCCAACAAATGAAGGATAAGACGCATTCCCCTGCCTTGAGAAAAACGTAGAGCTTGATATTAAATCTTTCAACTTGAGAGGTAATAAGGCTCCATCTCTCTTCCTGCGCCACATGGCGTAATTTCAGACCTATCTGCCCAACTTTGATCATCTTCAAGTGGTGAAATGGACCCACTGCCACTGATAAAAGACAGAGAGAGGGAGGGAGGGAGGAGAGTAGCGAGTGAAATCTAATTAGTGGTGTTTTGAGCGGGCTCACAGAAGTGTGACAGAGGAGATCAGGTCTATCATTCAGTGGTGGACACACAGATGAGTGTGAAGATGAGCTCCCTCTGTCGCTGCCTCTGACTTTCTCCTGCACTTATCTGGCCTTTGCCCCCCCCCCTGGAGCTTCATGATCACATCCGAACACTTTTAAATTGCTCCCGGCAGCGCTACAATGCCTGCTATTTTGCAGAGCGCTAAAAACAGCGGTGACACACGACTTCTCTAAAGCTACCCAGTAACAGCCAACTGACTTTGAATGGATATAAGTGGCGCACACAGATGTTCAATGACGTTCAGCCCTCAGATGTTCAATGTTTTATTCCCCTTAAGTTACTCAACCGCATGTAGCCTGTTGGCATATTCAGAGGAGAGAGCATAAACTGTCAGAAGGCATACCCTCAGCGGAGAAGCTCCAGGTTTTAATCTGCAATTCCCCCAAAACTGTCTCGCCAGTAAGATCATCTAGGCAGTGAAATCATCTTCATCTCAGGGACAACAATGGAGTCGAGATGCTTTTTAGTGCTGCCCCCAAAAAAAGAGGATATCTTTGCTGTTTGAATCCTCAGCACATTAATATATTTATAGCTGCACATGAGACTGTGTCTTATAACGACAAGAGTGAACCCTTTGGAACTCGACAAGTGGACCTTTGAACAACTTATCATTTCAATTTTTTTTAATCAAAATAAGCTACTTTCAATGTTTCAGGTAGTGCCGGGGGGTACAGTCAGAAAACATCTGACAGAACGAGCATTTGTGGGTATGACAGCTCGATGACAAGGCCAGAAATGAGATCACGACTCTAAATTTGAACCTTGGCATCGAGGGCTTTGATATCTTACTGACACGTTAACATGACTTTGACAGCAATATTGATAAAATCATGAATGGCAGCCAGGTGGCTGATACACTCCTCCATAATGGTGTTGAAGCATAGAGCTAAAAAGTACACATGTTATGGCTTTTATAGCAAAAAGCTCAACGTCAGCAATTTTTCTCTTTTTAGACACTTTACATTATCACCATTATCTGAGACATTACTGGCGCTTTAAAAAAAAAAAGGGGGTTTCAACTGTTTTACAATCAAGGGACATTCTTGACTGACAAAGTTGAGATCTTTTTTCTGAAGTAATTTTATATACCTTTTATTAGAGAGACAGTAGAACAATGCCGAAGCACATAGAGAGATGGGGAATGACACCTGGCTCGGACTGTAAATCGTGGTTTACGGTCAGTACTTTCTGACATCCCTACCTTGTCTGTAGCTCTCATCCCCCAGCCTGGGTAAACAACTTCCTATAACAGCTGGGCAATGCAGTTTTTTTTCCGCAAATGTTCCTCAAACAGTAGACAGTGCATTTGTTGGGGACTACTTTCAACTGCGGATTAATACATATTTAGTGCTCTAGGACGTATTTCAGCAGAACAGTGTTCCAAGATTGCCTTGGTCACTGTAGGCTTTGCTTTACTCTTGATGCAAGCAAACCAGAGGACAATTAGCCAATAATGTCCTTGCATTGCATGAATGGCATACCAATTACATTTCAAAACATCTTTTGAACTATATCTTCTTGAGAGCTTTCATCCCTGCAGCCCTGAGTTTTTACTAACAGCTTAACGTTATTGAGCTGAAGTGTCGTGACAAGATGTACTTCATACAGCTATAGTATGATAAGATTACATTATCTAAAATTGCATTTCATTTGTAAGTGTGAAAAGGCAAAACAACCGAGTCAACACATCCCAAATTATGATTGTAATTGGCCTTAAAATAATTGACTGTGTCCCCAGCTGATTTTTAAACCCCTCTGCTATTACCATCAAGCTGTGCACCAGATAGCCTCATATTGGTCTCCGTGCACTGTGTTTCTATCCTCATGAAAATGACAGTGATTTCAAAATGTCACACAGCATGTTTCCATTCATGGCACTTGGAAAGATTGACCCTCCGCAGGCCCCCGGCGGGACCCCCTGCCCTGTTGCCATAGAGATTCTCTTATGTAACTCAGCAACCCCCGGATCAGCAGGAACTGAAGCTCTTCAATATTGAAATCAATAACAGTTCTGTTAAGTGAGATTTTTATGTCTCAGACTCTAGAAACTCGACATCCATCATGCAACACTTATCATGACAAAACACATAAACACTATCCATTAAAGTATCTGAAGCTGTGCTCGAAAGGGGGCCCGATACTTTGGCACTTCTACATTTTACTCTTTGGAGTACCTTCACTTTTTCACAATATGCCGGTACTCTTTTCAGCCCACTCCATATCAGGTTGTCTGGGAGATCCATAATGGTGATTAATAACGGCACAGCACCAGCGTTTGTGCGCCGCATCTCATAGCCGTAAAGACATTACAAACCCTTGAACGAGGGGGCTGGAGTTAATCGACACAACATTCACGTCCTTTTTGTGAAATAATTAGTGAACTTTGTGAATATATATAATAAATAAAATGCTATTTTAAAGTTTTCAGAGTCTGCTAATATATTTTATTCACAATAGAGATTCAGAATGTGTCTCTTTATCCTGCTGCATAATATGTACGAGCATCTTGAGAGGGACTCTGCTCCTAAAACCGGATGAATAGCTCACGATGGAGAGAGCTTTTCAACATTTATAAACATTTTTCAACTTTTGACAGCTGAGAGTGACCTGGTGTAAAACTCTGGGCTTCCAGCTGTTGACCATGCCTCATGTGTAGGTGGAGAGAGAAGAGAGTCATGGTGAAAGTGGAGCAAGAGTTTTTCCATTTGAGAAGAAGTCAGAGTTGTTTCCTTTAGGCAAATTATAAGGTGGCTTGCCAGCATTACATTATGTTCTAGGCTGGTGCTGAAGATAAGTGGTGTTTTTTTAATCCTTTTAAAGCTTTTAACAAAACTAGATAAACACCAAAGTGAAATTCCTTTAATATGACATTCAGAGATCATTATCCCCAAAACCATTCCTGACGCGCTGCTGTTTCCAAACCCTGTAAATGTTTTAATGTGATATAATGACCAAAGCTCACCAGCAGGAATGATCCCTATGCGTAGAGAACACGGCACCAACTCCGCATCTGGTTGGTTCTGGTCCACGCCGTTGTCTGTTTGGATCCTGGTGACCAACCCTTGCAGGATCTCACTGAGCATCCCATCTCCACCCACACACACCACCCTGGACGGACAAATGACATCAACGATGTACACGAGTTATCTGTTGAACATTGGAATATTGTTCAGAGCCTAGGCGGACGCTGAGGAGTTCCATTACATGTGCGGATTTAAGAACACGACAACAATAGCCAGAAGACCTTGACAACAATAACAGTGAGCAGCAGGTGTAACTGTGAAAGCATTCGCTAAATAAGAATATCACACTGTGCCATCCAGCATTCCATCTTTTGTAAAGTCTGGATATAAACCTTGCTGAAATGGACCTATGAATTATATAAACTGCAGAGGAAAAGCATAATGGACTCTAACCATGATGTGCTGGACTGAATATCTGATGAATAGAAGCTGGAGACGGCGGAGCACTCGGCAGAAAGAACCTTTCATGTTATTGATGACCTGTATGTTCGGCTATCAGCTGCATTTTACCCTTTGCTCGCAGTCGTGAGCTGCATCATGTACAACTCTGGAAAACATAAACTTATGTGGCTTATGTGACTGATTTGTACATTTAGATTTATTGTAGAGTTATTTATTGTAAGTGATTCTAGAGAATAGAATCGGCTACATTTCTAAAATGATTATAAAGTGTGGAAATCTGTTTTATTGCCTTTAGATCTGAACTGCTGCTTTTGCTTCAGTTGACCACTTGATTTGAATTGAATGTCTAAAGCGTTGAGTAATCATACCGGGGTAAAAGATCTCTCTGAAAGGACCTTTTGTGTTGCTCCAGGCACTGTAAATCCTCCACTTCCCATTCTGCTCAAGGCGCACCACAGGGATCTGTCCTGGGTCCTTAACTATCCTCTGTTTACAAGCTACCTTTAGGTCAAATAGTTCAAGCGAGTCGTATCAAATTCCGTTTTTATGCCGATGGCGATTAAATCTGTTTTACATTGATTCAAAGCATTTCTTGGAATATAGATAACAAAGCACACTAAAACCCCTAAGTCTTAACCCCTTATTAACAGCACTTTGAAAAGGGCTGTATGAGGGTTAAGACTTGATTTTACACTAGGAAAGTAAAGTGATTTCCCTTTTCTGTTGTAAAACTGAATCTGGTCCTCACAAGGATATAATATATAATGCACACACACACACACACGCACACGCGCGCGCACACACACACACACACACACACACACACACACACACACACACTCTCTCTTTGAATTACCTTTCCCGAGGTTTCTTGCTTCGAGTCCTTGTCTTTAAACATTAAATCTCTTTGCAGAAATCTCTGCGTCTTATTGCCTTGACATTTTTCATAGGCAACCATGGTGCCGAGACGATAAATCCTAATCACATAAGTGGTCCACTGACTTTTTCTCTCCATTAGCTCCTCCATTAGGTTAAAATTTGTGGTTTTGCGTGAAACAATTATCGAATGGATTACCGTGGATACATACATTCATATTCCCCTCGGCATGAATTATAATCACTTTGGTGATCTTTTAACTTTTTCTTTAGCGCCCTTATCAGGTCAGAATGTTAACTTGGGACACACTTAGAGGTTGAAGGAAAAAGTCCTAACAGGAAGGATAAAAACAGTGTCTCTTTGTTACCCTACTAGCATGTTTATTCATGCTGTAAGGTAACCCTGATCTAATGTTGCACTGATGAAAAGTCACGCCAGGTTACAGAGATCCAACTCTGTTCAAGGTTCTCTGTACAGTATTCAGAGTATTAATATAGCATCAAACAACTATTTACTATGTAAAGACATAGTGGAGTAATGGTTACCTAAGCAGAGAATGAAGTCACACTTCCTGTGTGTGTGTGTGTTAGTGTAAGTGCATGTGAGCGTGCCTCATTGGCTAGCTCATGGGCGCCGCAGAAGGCGCAAACGTAGCGCCCACCCTCCAGTTCCCCCTCAGGCATACGCTGTTTGCTCTGTCATCACTGTTGCCCGTTGTTTGCACTGTTAGCGCTGTTAGCGCCGTAAGCTGCTAACCACCGCCTCAGCCGTCGGCATGTCGGGAGCCGTGTGAGCGCTAGATAGGCTCTGAATTTCTTATAGAGCACCTCCAAGTGGCGAGGAACACACCGGGCTTTGCCTCAGTGATTACAATCAGACAGCACAGATTACAGCACAACACGACCTCATAACAAGCTCCGAATGTGCGATAATACATTGATACACATGGCGATACACAGCTCAAGGCAGAGTCTCTCGAAGGCTGTGTTACAATATCAACAGACAAGAGTAAACTCCTGTCACAGTGAAGAACCGGTGTTGAAAGCCTGAAAGCAGAAGCTGCCCTGCTTGAGCACTCACCCGTCATATTTATCTAGATTGGCCTCGGTTTTCAAGTGGTCCCTGGCATGATTGGCCCGCTCTGTAACTATGGAAACAAATCAAACGGCAAGTGTTAGTGCAACTTCAATTAAAGGGAACGTACTGACATAACAATAGACTCTTTGTGGCCTGACGAGCACTAGCATTTTGAAATACAGGACAAGGAAAAGCTTTGCACTTTTGAAAACAGTCCCTGGAAACCCGTCATGCAGATTAATGCTAACAACCTAATTCAGCTATTTATATATTAGCCTGCAAAAAGAGTTTCAATATTTCAACAGTAAAATCTGTTTTCCCCGAATAATAACGACAGCAATGCAATCCTGCCATTCACAGTTGCTGTAGGAAGCCCGGAGTGACCATCAATACCGCAAGACTATGTGTAGCTGTTGCAAACACTTATTGAATAATAGATGTGTTTTGGATACCCAAGCTTATCAACTATCACAGCTTCCATTAAGGTGGAGGCAAGATTAATGGCACTATCAGCCAAATCATATCCTTGCAAGCCTCTTCGGCCCCTTGGAGAGGCCACAGTGGCAGCGGAGATCTATATACGGCGGCCACCGAGACTCATTTTTTATTTAAATGTTGAGGAGCGCTGCTGATAGGGACCCACCAATCACGTCGGCGGAGATGCAGGCGCGGCCAAACAGTGGAGCCACCTTCTGCTCGTAAATGCGCCTCCCGTGTTGCTTTCCCCCGAAGGGATTGATGTACACCAGAAGGCTCTTCGGCCGGCTGGCTGCAAAGTGAGGGAGGGGTATGAGATAGTCATTAAAACGGTTCAGCATATACCTTTTTTTTTGTTTTTTTCTACAACTGTGTCACTGATAAACAGCTTGATGAAGTTTTCATTAACCAGAGACCTTTCTCAAAACGCTCAGTCAAACTGACTGGTGCCTGCAACACGCCTCTCAGGAAATAAATGGTGTGTCTACCGACTATGGGAGGAGTGTGAAGCAATTCAGAGGTGCTGCATCATTCGGTGATAAACCCACAGAGTGCCGCGATGGAGAATACTAAATGGCTTGTTTATGGCTGCTGTGGAAGACTGCGTTTAGGACAACAAACTGAGATGCAGCAGCTGCTCCAATTGGAAATGAATGGATCGGGATCGGGAGTTAAATGAGCACTAAGAAATATAGGGTGCAATATTTAATTGGCAATAAGACAAAAGTTCCATTAGATTACATAAATGGATTGTCAATGGGGGATGTAAAGGTGCACTGTGGAGGAGACTAACACTATTGAACACACTAGAGCTTCATCTTCACAATGGATGTAGTTAATTTTCTTGAATTGATTCATCCTGCCAGGCAAAGTGGGGCCAAGTAAGCTGCTTCAAATGGACTAAACCCATCTTATGCTCTAATTTCCACATGCTAGTTACACACTAAATCCTGAAGATCTCAAACGTAAAATCACTTTGCAATCACATTACACATGTAGAGCGCTGTATTTTGCACTCATCCAGGTCAACAATGTAATAAAGCTCAATGTGTAGTGACTGATGGTGTAATAATAACCTTTTTCCAGGTCATGTAATGTGTTAATTGATCATTGGAAAACGTGTTAAATTGCTCACATCTGTAAAGATTTTGATGGATGATGCGCTGTTGTTCCGTCATGCAGTCTTGCATGTTAACATGCAGGAGAGAGAAATAAAGATTCCCTGGAGCACATCTGGACAGTACAAACGCTTCTTGTGCAAGCCAGCCAAAGATATTTTTAGTACACTCTTTTAAAGTTTGTAAAACCACCATTTATATGTTTTATCAGACTATTGGTTATTGCTGGCTCCATTCTTTACGTCTGTGCCTGTGAGGTACTATCTAGAAGAGAAATGCAGGTGGCCAACCTGTATTGTCGGTTTGCCTCTGGGCTCTCCTGAGGGGCATTGAATCTACTGTAAAGAATGAAGTGGGGGTGTTTTTTTATGAACAATAATGCACACTTTACTTACAGTCTGGTTAAGGAGCAGAAGAGCTCATTTAGCAATATGTCCAGTCTGGAATGCTTTAATGATATACCGTTTGGTCTGAAACGTAAATATAAGCTGAATATACAGTTTCTTGGTCTTTGTGATATTAATGTGGAAAATTATTTCCGTCCCTTCCCTTTTGTTTGCCTCAAACACTATCGATATACCTCACAATAAAAGCATCCTTTAGAGAATCTCAGGGTTTCAGGGGTTTTCCTTGGGCGTTACAGTGACTTATGTTACGTACTGTATGGTGGTGTCGCAATGAAGTAGTCCATAAACCACTCAGAAAAAAAGATTGTATTCCATATCCCCTGTGGCCATTGCTGACAGCTATTGAAATAGCTGAGAGATAAAAAAGCCTGGTCCTCACAGAACACCCGCTCCCTCCATGCAGAATAAACTGTGCGGCACAAAATCTTACAGTCCAATCTTAAAGCCGTTTCGCACCAAGCACGGATTTTCAAAAATATGGCACGGAAATTCATGAAAACTGGATTTGTGGGTTCTTATAAATGTTTGCAAACCCCTGCGGGTCATCAAAAAAAAAAACAACGTATAAATAACTGTTCCAAGTTATGCCATACCTCCAGCTATAGCTCCAGGTAGCTCGCTGCCACACTGGGGTAATTTTTTTCAACACCCGACATTGCACGAGAAACACAAGATATGTTATATTGTGGTTAAGGAACAGGGCTAGTCACGACAGTTATAGCATTAGAATCAAATTTGGGGTCCGATTAGTTTATGTATTGTGTAGCCAAACAGACAGACTCTGCCTGGATAGGTTTTTGTCGTGTGGAGTGGACATGAGGACTAAATATGGGGTATTTTTGCGATGAAAATGGAACACGGCAATACAAATAATTCCCACCGGACATTTTTGCATCAAACTCTTAACCTTTTAACCTGACAAACTACAAGTAGCGATTTCTAAACCAATTAAAGGAGCAGTGTGTAGGATTTTAGTGGCATCTAGTTGCAACAAACTGAATAGCCCTCTGCTCCGCCTTCCATTTCCAAGTGTGTGGGAGAACTACGGTGGCTGTAATGTAAAAAGGTTTTTGCTTTTGTTTGGTTTGTCCATTCCAGGCTACTGTAGAAACATGGCAGGCCAACATGACGGAATCCATGAAGAAGACCCGCTCCCTATGTGACACAAACGGCTCATTCTAAGCTTACGGAAACATAACGTTTCTTAGTTTCAGGTGATTATCCACGAATAAAAACTAATATTACATTCAATATCTGCTAATAAATCCCCCTAAATCCTAAACACTGTCCCTTTAAATCTAGTACTCTACTCTGCATTTATCCTAGTGCTCACTAAGCCAGATTCCTAATACGTGGAACTTTTATGGTGCATTGTCCATAAAATGATTCTGATAACATTGAGAAGCTCTGAGTGAGTTCAAAGTACATTCCCACATCTGTTAGGGAACATCATTAAACAGTACATACCGAGTAATGACAGTTGCTCATTGATAACTTGGATCCACTGCGCGCAGAGGCCCTCGCTGGCAGAGTGGAAGGTGACATCACTACACCGCCACTGGTGCCGCCTCGTTCTTCTAACGTAGGAAACTGTAGAGGAGCAGAAACAGAAGGAACAGAGCGCTTGCTGTATTATGATTGTTTATATTTTTCATAGGTAAAAATGTTAGTACGTTCATTACCAGCTGGCTTTGCTAAGTTGCAGACATGGCCTGAGACTGAGAATGAACCCTGGCTTTATCCTTGAAGCCAATCAGATGTGTGCATGAGCAAGAAATGAGTGCATATGAGAGTTATGTAAAACTGGTCTCTGCTGATAGTCAGAGAAATAGAAGAGTCATATAATATCCTGCTCTGAACATTACTGAAATATTTACGTTAAGGAGCAAAAGAAGAAGAAGAAGAAGAAAAAAAAAATCACTCGCTAAGCACTTTGACAGCCGATTCACTCACTAAGCACTTCAAAGTCAAATGATCACACTAAGCATTATTTTCATCAGATAGGGAAGTTAACTTTTCAGGCAAGTTCTTCCGACCAAATCGCTTACAGTACCTCGTGCTCGCTGTGGGGTAAAGCACAGAGAGACGTTTAGGAGTGCGTGTAAAGAATCATCCTTTTAATAAGTTACATAATCAGGATGGAACTGACGGGACGTGTCTTTGAAGCCAAGTTTCCACGGATCGTGGGAATGCAGTCGTGTCAGACTCGACACACTCTAACGCCAGTAAAAGCTCACATTAGCGAGGTAATTTTTAACATTTGGCTGCGATAAATAATGTAAATCCGATCTTGTTTGGATATAATCTAATGGCTCAAAATTAAGCATTAGCCCAGAAGTCACTGGCATGCTGCCATCTTAGACCCAGTCGGCTAAGCTGTGAGGGACTCTCTTGTTAATGCATTACTTTCAGACTGTGGAGCTGTCGACGGGCTTATTTCCCGTGTCAGATCACTTGTGATTGGTGGAGCTGAGGACTGGCTTTTGGCACACTTACTCAAAATGGAACTGCGATGTGGCATTGACCTGCTATAGTGAAATGAAAGTGACAGGGATCAAAAACTGGCTTCAGGCAACTTTGTTGGAGGGAACAAAAGACACTCTATCTATTTCTTAGAGCAGCAGCTCAGCTACTAAGTGTTGCACTTGTGAGAGACAGATTGAAAATGGCTTAGATATCCTATCTAAGCCATCTATCTAAAAGCACTGGATCCTACACTTCCTATAATGCAACTGAGTCCTCATACAACCGAAATCATACAACCGTTTTCAGAGGCTGAGTAGCGTACTCACCGTGACCAGCAAATTGACTTTGACGTGTAAAATCAGTGGAATGTCCCTTTAGAGTGTGATTATGAGTGTAGGTTTTGATACCTGTGAATGCATGCGGGTACAGCTGGGAGTGCTGCTTTGCCTTTTTCTGACTCCTCCTGGTCTCTGCGTAGTCTTGATCATCCTTGGTGTCGAGGACAGCCACTATTTCACACACCTGAACAGCATGGCTGTGTGCTGGAGAGACATGAATAAATGCATATTTTACTCAACTGCATTACACAACAATAACCGGTGCATGATGCTCTTCCGATGGAACGGTTAGTCTGTGTAATACGTTCTCTGATGTACATACACACATTTTTGACAAACCAAAGCAATTGTGGAAGTGACTTATTTGACATGTTGCCCAAACATCATTCATCATTTTTGTGAAGATCATTAAAGCTGCAATAATCAATATTTTTATCAATCAGCAATGGATCACATGACCAAAGGGGTCACTTATAGAGACAACCCCACAAAGAAGTATCACCCAACTCAGTAGTTCCCCTCATTCATTCCAGATCATTGTTTTGCTTTTACGGCCCATAACTTCTACTGTTTATTGTTTCTGCTCAGTCTCGTCAAACTCATCAGCCTCATTTCCAGATGTAGCAGGCAGCTGTTTCAGGGAAGAAGCTCCCATGCAAACCCGCTACACGCTTCCTGCCCAGCACCACATGGCACACAGGCAACGTTAGCAACCAGCTGATGAAGTTGAACATTTAGCAGCTTAAGAGCCGGGCATTTCCCTCGGGAGTTGGTGGAGGTCAAAAACAGAGCTAAAAGTAGAGTGAATATTGGACTAACATTCATCAAATGAATGCAAATGTATATGTGTAAACAGGCAAATGTTTGCTAACAAGTAAGGAAATGAAGGTTTAAGTAAGTCGAGGTTCCCCCTTTAAAATGAAGACAGCTTCATCCATATCTTATGACCTTAGAATGGCTTACCATTTATTTCACAAAAGGAGTAACAGCCATATCCCAAGAGAGCTGCTGTGTGTTTGTGAAGGAACTGCATCTTCTTGTTCTTTTTTTCTCCCCCCCGTGGGGACCGGGTTCAGTCTGCTAGTTTGAAAATGATGTGGGATGAAAGACTTTGGCTGTGTTTGAATGGTTTGAATGGTTTACAGAATTAGTCGAGAATGGTGTGATCTGGTACCGCCTTGGCAGTGAAGAGATTAGGTTGGGTCAGTTGCCTTAAAGGGCTGCTAAGTCACATCAACGGATTTAATGGGTATTAAATTACTATGTTTGAAAGGCAGAGATTGGGAAAATAAAAGGGAGTTACTGGGAAATGGTTTCCTTTCGCATCCATACTGGTAAGTGTAGACAAGCTGGTCTGAGTATGAAACAGAGTGGCCAGGGGAAATCCAAATAAAGCAAAGAAATCATGACATAGGAAGGGGCAACTCAATGCTGTTTTACTCTACATCTCACAATAATAACATATATGATTTCCCTTGGGAGCCATTTCTATATTTTAACTCAGAAATTGTGAGCATTCAAGCACAAAAGATGGCGACGCTACTCACGGAAACCAAATTCAAAAGTGCACTTTTGTGCAAGGGAAAGGGCAATATTACTTTCAATGAGTTTAACTGACCTCTTCAACTGCATCACATACAGGCATCACAGTCTCTCCTACGAATGTATTCAGCCGATATGGTGAAATGGATGGGAGGGAGGCACGACATATTATTTCTCTCCCGGGACTCTGAGGGAATAGGATTTCATTTCTTTCTCAAATAAAGATGATGCGCCATGCAGGCATGAATAACTTTATAGCCATCGATATTCACACTTTGACAAATGGGAAGAGTTATGGCCATGTGTGTAATAGCTTTATTTTGGAAAAAAAAGAATAAAAAGAACGAGGAGGTATTTCAAATATGGCACGTATAGTGCTCTGCCGAAGGGATTGTTGGGTGTTGCGTTAACATATATAATGGATTACTGAAAGTTACTGACTAACACATTCCATCCATTTTCGAAACATGTTTTAGCATTTACCATTAATTCCCACTTTGTGGCTGATGTATCTTTTCTGATAAAAAAAAGATACATAAGCTTGCTTTAAAGCTTTCCTTTGGGTACTATTTTCTCACAGCAGGTGTTCTGGTTTGTCATATTAAGAAAAGCCAACTAAAAACATTAATTGTGACAGTTCTATCGAGGTGCCCCAGTAAGCATGGCAGTGGAACAGTGATCCACCGGTGCACAGTATCAAGAGCCCTGCAGCTGAAGGCTAAATGGAACGCAGCCACTATTAGTTTAATTATGTACACCTGTGCTTTCCCTAATGTGACATTTCAAGAATGTTTTCTGGGAAGAAGGTGTCGGCCTATGATGGCTCATTATTGACAATGAGATTTAGGCTACAGTCTATGGATTTAGATCAGTCTGTCCCACTGACACCCTGGGATGTTTGAAATGAGTCTTAAGGGAGTGTGTTACACAAACAGATCATTGAGGAAGATCATTTTTGAGCTGTTGATTTAAGCCGACATTCTGAACACTTGCATCATTATGTGGAACGTAAAAGTGTCGCAGGGAGATAGCCGAAATACATTAAATCTACTTTTTCTGTTGTGCAACAGTCATGCAAGCGTACGCAGATGAGCAAAAGCATATCCTCTTTGGTAAACTGTTGCACGTTGAGTCACAGATACCGTAGAGTGGGAAAGAACCCAAGATTACAACAAACTGCATTAGACTTGAGATAATTCAACACAAAATCTTGCATTGGCTCTTTGTTTCATATCCGAACACCACGCTTGTATCCGATTTATGCCAAAAACATTCATTGGAATACATTAGAATATCTTATCTTGTGTCTTACACATTTACATGTTTGTTATCTGAAGCGCCATGGCTTACGGTCAAACCTGAAAAAAATGAAAAATGTATGAAATCTTTTCTCTGTGTTAGCCTGGTGGGCAAATCAACTTCTGTCAAAGGCAAATTACATTACATTATTCACTGAGTCAGTACAAGCGGTATTTCTCTCCATCGCTAGCCAGGCCGCTCTTTAGAACAACTTGGTCAAATGAACCCCCAGAAAACGAGCACAAAGCCAACAATATCAATGAACTGTGTTAGGGAAGGAACTGGAAACAAACTCTTGACATTCCCACATTCCAACACTGCTCCAATAACCCTGCCACACACACACACACACACACACACACACACACACACACACTCACAGGAGGCATAAACACGCACACGCTCAAGTACACAATAATCCCATCACTACAGGCACACAGAAGACACACAAATTCCTCGACTTCTTTAGCTCAGTGCGGTCTCTAAGCTACATGCTAAGCCCTCGGCCATACAAGGCAGAGCCTCTCTGCTCTGCTTTGACATACTTTTCTTTGTGCTTGCAAAGACTCCCAGCACCGGCAGTCAGACAGTGTGTGCTGCCTATTCATACCACAGGGCTCAGTGTGTTACTGTGAGCCGAAGGGGTCCGCTACTTGCAAAAAGGAAAAGTCCCTTTTCAGGGACTCAGGGTTTATTTTTTCTAACGTCTGGAACTTGCTCTGCACTTGGAAGAAAGTATTCAAATGTGTGTTTTGTTGCTGCGAAGCTGAGGTGATACCTGTGAAGAAAAGTTGTGGCAACCAAGCCAGTGCTTCAGCTATCAGTTACTCCGGAAAAAGAAAAAAAAGCCCCGGATGTGACAATGAAGCGTAAGAGGACGAGCCCTAACATCTCAAAGAGACAAACCACAAGAGATCGTGTCACAAGCAGGGCAGTAAACACTAGAGGCTGCCAGGTGATATTGATATCAATGTTTTCATATAAAGCCATAGAGTTTTAACTATGTGGGTCATGAAAACAAAGAAAACACTTCATCGCCTGACTTGCAAAAAGTATTGTTTATGAAGGAGTAAGGCTGTACATCATTTACAAGATGCATGGGTATGATTCCAACTGAAGCATGGCCAAAACAAAGTAGTTACTACTGCTTAGGCCCAATAATTATTAAATTAGGATTGGAGGATTTAAGCTTATTACCTGCAGATAATAACAATACATCACTTTAAAGGGATATTCAACATTTTGCAAAATACAATTATTTGCTTTCTTGGACGTGCAGAGAGTTAAAACCAATTGTCTGTATGGTAAAAATGTATGGCGCTGGTTAGCTTAGCTTAGCATAAAGACGAAACAGAGGGAAACAGACAGCCTTGCCCTTTTCCAAAACAAAACAATCCACCTACCAGGAAGTGCACCCGGCCAAGAAATGGTCCCGCTTTTAGATTTCACAGAGATTAAACAAACAAAAGGTTATGTTATTATTTTATTGAGCTTTAGCAGTGCTAGTAGGTTTTGGACAGAACCAGGTTTTGCTGTTCCCCTGTTTCCAGAAATCAAATAATTATATTTCCCAAAATGTCAACAACAGCAGCAACGTCAAACAACAGGTGAAGTTTCAGGTTCCCCACATGAGAGGTCATGACGGCCATGGAAATAAGGACAAGTTCAAGCACAATCACATGGGATCCGATGAGAACAAGAGGCAGCATAGAGAATAACCATAAATAAATGGATCTCAAATTCTGGCAATGGCAGTGTGTTGCTTTGCCCAGAGTGTGAATGTAATCCCCAACTCTGGCATTGTTCGTGCCTTTTTTTTTTCAGCGAGCCAGAAACATCCAAGTCCTCAGGGCACGGGGTGCTACTGGTTTCCATTCCAACCACATGAGATGGATTAACACCTGCACTGTTGTAATCTGTTAAAGGGCCAGGACCAGTTTGCAGATCTTCTAGACCAGATCTGTGAATTTGTATTTCACGTGATTGCATGCATCAGTGGCTCCCTGGCTTTTTGTCTCGTGACTCTTTAAACAAGGGGTTAATCACGGGTAGCATATGTGACCAGTTTAACCAAGGATTTATTAATCCCACGGTAAAGTTACAGTAAATCACAAGAAAAAAAGAATACTCCATTCCATTATTCTAGCTATATTTGATAATGCAAGCAACCTGTAGTTTCCGTTCAGGTGATAGAGCAACCTTAGTGGTTTGCTTAAGCATATCATTTTAAAAGAACATAAGAGAAGGCATAAGGTTTAAAATCAGTGAAGTGGCCCTTTAACTACCTGAAGGGTAAAAATCCAGCGGTACTCAATAAGGATTTAGAGCCACTGGTCTTGGGAACGATTGCATCCTATAACGAT